AAAGGAAGCAGAAACTGCCTAGTTGAAGAAGGTTTATATGCTCTAGTTTTGCAGTTTGGCATTTCAATCTCAAAATTGAAATGGCAAAATAGCCGTGCTCTTTGTGTCAACTTGATCTATCTATAAGCATGAGTATAAACATGATCTGTAGTCACCCATTTATATCTTGAATCGTTTGCAAGAGGTTTTCTTGAACTGCAATATGAACTTTTGACATTGTTGGACACTTTCCAGAAACTGTTGAAAGGATATCTAAATTTGATATTACTGCTAGTTTTCCTGAGAGCTTACATTGAAAACAACAATTGGCAAACGGGAAGACTTTACTTGAGATAAATAAGTTCTTCCATAAATCGGTTATCAGGGGAAAAAAACTCTGTATCAATATGCATGCTAACATAAATAAGGCGCACATTAGCAGGCCCTAACAACGAGAGCATGAAAGGAAATTGAAGGGAACTGCTCTCCACTCTCCATAATGAACTGAGAATATATTATCCCTTTTATAATCAAGATGCATTTCTTAGACCAAGAAAGCTCAACTAGATGTGAAAATGTCATAAAATGACTTTACCAAGGCGCTCTTGACACTTCAATGACCATATCTACTTGCAAGTATTAGCTTATTTCACACGGTTCTCCACAAAATAGATTGTTATATGCATAGATGTGATTTTAATAGTTTGTCTTCTTTGATTATAGGACTCCTTGATCAAACCTATTACCAGGATATTGGTCGGTGTTGCAGTGATCACCATATTGATAGTATTGGTGTTGAAAGAGACTCCACAATGGGCAGAAAAGTTGAACTTCACTGGTGGTAATATCCCGCCATGGGTCCTGGCCGCTGTGGTCATCTTGTTCACACGTGTGAGGAAGAGGACTAAGAATTTCTTTGAAAGACGCCTGTGATGAACTGGTGCTTACCACAGGCAACTGAATTTTCTCAAAAATTTGTATGCTTTGTTTGTCTTTCTCACTATAGTTTTTGGATTTGCATTTTATAAGCTAATCTAATCTTATAATCCAGTCATGTACATGCCATTCCTTTCTTTTTCTTGTTGGAGAATTTTTGTTATCACCCCGAATGATCTGGCAGTGACTGGATTCTCAGATTGCTTTTGTGACAATACTATACTATCAGCTCGTTCTCTTGCACCATGAGAGACGCTATGTATGAAAGTAACACCTTGTCTCGAGCTTGGGAAGATTTGTTGATCTGATAAAAGTACACATCCTCTCAAACTTGGAAACAATACTGCGTCTGATAGAAGTAAGACGGGAACATTCAATTTGATTCAAACTCAGGGAACAATACTTAACTTTTGCCTAGTTTCTGTAGTTGTTAACTGGAAGTCTAATGTGGGACTGCAGAAGACAAGTTATGCAGACTGTTAAGCTGTAAAATCCATACCATTACTCCTGTCAAAGGGGTTTCCCTCAATCTTCTCAGTTTTGCAATTTTAGGAGAAAAAGAAACCTGTGTTTCATTTCCAGGGCGTTTAACTAGTTCATCTCGGAGTCAAGTGCCTGAGTCATTCAGATCCTATGGAAAATCTCGACGACAATGAAGCAGATGTATGAAAGAAGAATAATATGCTCTTTGTTCCTACCTTTTGAGAATACATATGAAACACACGACAAATTTCAGCAGGGTTGGCAGAGTTACTCAGTACACGTGTTGATGTGAACCAATTTGACTAGAACTTCAGTGATCATCCCGAAAGTGAGGACACACAAACAAATGATAATTTGATTATAGCCTTAAATGTCTAAGTATACTCCAGTCAATACTTAAAATTTTAGAACAAACTAATTTACGTTGAGAAGTGTACACTAAATATAAACTCTAATTTGGATAAAAGTTGTCCTAACGTACTTCCTCTAAATTTTAAAATTTACCGTCTGAGCTGTACAAATATGAATATGATTTAAATTGACGAATATTTTAAAAATTAATTTTAACTTCCACCATCAGGGGCGGACCCATATGGTGTCAAGCGGGTTCAGTTGAACCCACACTGCATATATTGATAAATTATATTTGAAACAGCGAAAGTACATATAGAATTAAAAACTTGAACCTACTTCAAAAAAGTGTGCTTTCTGTTGAGGTGGCAAAGAGGGTACGAGTGTGTGGAAGGTACTGTTATCGAATCCCACTTGTGGTGCCTGTTTCTTTTGTTTCTTTTCTATTTCACTTTGTTTTTTTCTTGAAATTAATAAAATTATTCTACAGTTTTATCTATTCCAAAAATTAATCTATCTACAAAGTGAATTTTGGTTGTTTCTTTGTTACATTTTGATAAAACATGAAAGTATATTTGTTTAAATTATTTAAGAACAAAAAAAGTGATCAAACACTACTTGTCTTACCCGACACTACTTATATGAATAGCCGCCGTCATCTTTTACTGAACCCGTTTGTATAAAATCATGAGTCCGCCAATGATCCACCATAATTCTAACCTTCCATATTTTATTCAAGACGGGGCTGAGAGCGACTGTAAACTCTAACAGTGTTAGTTTAGCATGAAGTTAACTATATTAATTCGTGACTTGATGTTGGCATGTTTGGTCATATATGTTCAAACCCATTTAACATAGCAGGAAACATACAAGTGAAGTTTTACTAGTAATGTCTTGTTTCCTTGAACCTTCCGCTTTCACTCTCAAAGACCAAAGTGGATAGGGATTAACTTCTAAAAGTCTTTAGCCGATGTATTAACGTGATTACATGAATTTGACACACGCGGAGGCATGATGGGAGAGAGAAAAAGAGAATCGCAATTTCAAAACCCATTGGCCGAACTAATACGGATAATTCATGCTTATAAAACTAGTTCCTCGAACCTTCTTATTGTGGTTTGTTTAACCTTTTTGAGAATTGACTATATTGAAGAAAAACGTTGACTTATTTGTTTTAAAATCCTCAAAAACCATATGTTACTTTTTCTTCTCCCTTTTTGTGTCTTTCTTGTATTTTCAAGAGATATATTATACGATATTATTAATTTTAGTTGAAATATGGACTATATTTGTTTAGTTCGATCGGAAAGTAGATTGTTGGTTTAGTTAAAGTCAATATTTGCACTAACTCGCGCTAATTGGTCTTTTTTGGCAAATAATTAAGCAGCTTAGTTTACTTTATCATTAAAGACAATCAATGTTATTTGAGCGGGAAAACACAAGCACTACAAAAGGTCACTAAATTTACCATGTAAAGATGAGTTGGAGACTTTCTCTCTCTTCGCTCCAGCTTCTCTCTAAGCGCAGGTTAGTCTAACGTGCGCACTGGAGGTCCATGGGAAGAGGGCGAGGTCAGGGAAGGGGAAGACCTAAGAAGGAGATACAGATTGCGTTTGGAAGTGCTGTGCATGTTCAATCCAAGGTGACTGCTTCAACATCCAAGCAATCAGCTGCCAAAATTTCAATAGAACAGTACCCAGATCCGGAACCTTCATCGAGTTCAGCTGTAGAGAAGAGGCTTATAGTGGAGATGGTGGATGCAGACAAAACTCCACTACCAGAGAGATCTCCGGTGGAAGATGGAAAACAATTGAAACAAGTTGAAGATCCAGTCCAAAATGTACCTATTCAAGCTCAAGAGGATGAAGGCCAAACAACGAGAATTACTGAAAAACAGGAGGCAAATAAGGAGGCTAATGAAGTGAAGGATGAGGCTGTTAAACCAAAGTGGAACTCCTTATTTGCTAGAAACAGAGCTGCAGAGAATAGTATGACCCTACGATATTTCCCGCCTCAAATCGTTAATGGGGAAACGATAGTTCAGCTTGAGAAGAATGAAGTGGAAAAGGAAGCGGAAAAGTGGAAAAATGCCCTCATTGTCTATGTGATGGGGGAAACACCAGGATATTCACTCATGCATAGGTACATTTCTCAAGTGTGGAATTCTATACCTATGCCAGATTTGTATTTGCATGAGGAAGGGTATTATGTGGCTCGATTTCATGATATGAATGAAATTCTATTTTCTGGGCCTTACACTATTAGAAATCGACCAATTATCTTGAAGTCATGGACCCCTGCATTTGATTTCAGTCAAGAGTTTATGACAGAGATTCCATTGTGGGTGAAGTTTCCCAAATTACCTATGAGTTGCTGGGGATGTGGATCTTTAGGCAGAATAGCTAGTGCATTAGGGAAACCTTTATTTGCAGATGAATGTACGACTAAACAAACAAGGATCTCATATGCTAGAATATCGATTGAAGTTAATGTATCTAAGCCACTACCCGACACAATAGTAATTATGGAGCCAAATGGACAAAAATTTCAGCAAGAGGTGGTATTTGAATGGAAGCCCCAATTCTGCCCTCAATGTCTAACTATTGGGCACATATGTTCTATGATACCCGAGCAACAAGTGATAGAAAGGCCAATGTAGAATAGAAGAAGAGGTGAGCAGAAGAAGGTGGTTCAGGAATGGAAGCCTAAAGATATACCATCTACGAGCCAAATGGTAGATACACAACAACTTGTCCATGTAGAAGTCACTCAACCTGGAGCTAATGAGGATGTGAACAAGCTGCAACAACATGACACTGGATCACATAGCAAAATAACAACACCAGAAGGAACAGTAAGGAATGCTTCTAAAGGTAAAGAGCAGGTGCCTAGCCCAGAGCTGAATTTGATCAACTTCCCACAGTTGAGTGTTGTTATGTTGAGTAAAGCAAGGAACGGGACTGCAGGGACAAAACAAAGAGAGGTGCAGAGAATAAGACAAGTAGAACCTCCTAATCTGGGGGGTCTTATCATTGCTCAATGACTTGGCTCATATGGAATATTAGGGGTGTAAATAAAGTGTATAAACAAAAGAGTTAAAGAAGTATATAAGGATAAAAAATATCAAAATTCTGGGCCTGCTGGAAACCAGGGTTAAGCAACCTAGATGTTCAAAAATAGCTAGAAATATTGCTTTAAATTGGGGTATTATCAATAATTACTCTGCTGCTGTAAATGGAAGAATTTGGTTGATGTGGGATCAAGGTGAATATACTATAGTTGTTCAGAAGGTGGAAGCTCAGTTAATACATTGTGAAGCTAGAGATATCTCTAATAATTTTCAATGTGTTCTGACTATTGTTTATGGATTTAATACTGTGGAAGAGAGGAAAAGCTTATGGACCAGTTTGCAAGATATATCGAGAAGTACTAACTGTCCATGGTTAGTCTGTGGGGATTTTAATGCAATGTTAATAACTACAGATAGAAGGAGCTGCCATCCTGTGACCTTCAGTGAGGTTAAGGATTTTGCAGACTGTATTAATTCCATATTACTAAGTGAGTTACAATGGAAAGGTGATTATTACACATGGTCAAATAAGCAACAAGGAGTGGAGAGAGTAAGTAGCAAAATTGACAGAGCCTTTAGTAGTCATGACTGGATGATGAACTGGGGCCATATTGTTTTAGAATATGATCTGCCTAACATATCAGACCATGCTCCAATGTTGTTAACCTTACGCAATGTGAATCAAAACATCAGAGCTCCTTTCAGATTTTTCAATATATGGTGTGGGCATGCACAATTTCTGGAGATAGTGGAGACACACTGGAAAAAGCAATTGGGTAGGGACCCTATGCAGAATGTCTGGAACAAGTTGAAGGCAATGAGATCAGTCTTCAGACAACTGAATCAAAAAGAATTTCAAGCAACTACAGAGAAGAATGATAGGGCAAGAGATGAACTTCAAGGAATGGCAGCAATGGGAGCAAACTATGATGACAGTCTTGTGATTAAAGAAAATGAAGCTCTAATGAAGTTAGAGAAATGGAGCCTGATTGAGGAGAGTATACTAAGGCAGAAATCTAGAGCTCAATGGATACAGCTAGGAGACTCAAATTCAAAGTATTTTGTTGTAGTCATGAAGGAAAGAAGTCACAGGAAGCAAATCAAGGAACTCAAGTCATTGAAAGGCGATAAGCTATTGTCTGATCCTAAATGAGCTAAAAGAGGAAATTGTGTCATTTTATAAAGGGCTAATAGGGATCTCTAACCTTTCAAGGCAGTCAACAAGTTTACAATGAGTAAGGGACCTAAGCTTAATCATGAGCAACAACTCCTTCTGTGTGCACCAGTTACTGATCAAGAGATAGCTGAAGGATTGAAAGCAATTGGGAATGATAAATCCCTAGGGTTGGATGGGTATAATTCTCATGGTATATAGTTGGTCCAAAGATCACAAAAGCAGTAAGAAGGTTCTTTGAATGTAGCAAGATGAATAGAACTATCAATTGTACTTCTGTCACTTTGATTCCTAAGAATGATCATCCTGCTAATGTGAAAGAATATAGGCCAATTGCTTGTTGTACAGTGTTGTACAAAATCATCTCTAAAATTCTTGCATCAAGACTCCAGGAAGTTATTGCATCAGTTGTGTGTGAAGCTCAGACTGGATTTATTCCAGGAAGGAAGATTTCTGATAACATTTTCCTTGCCCAAGAACTGGTGAAGTCCTATACAAGGAAAAATGTATCTCCTAGGTGCATGATAAAAATAGACCTTCAAAAGGCCTATGATTCAGTGTAGGTGTATCTGGAGCAAGTACTAGATGAGCTAGGATTCCCTAGGCAGCTCACCATATGGATCCTAGAATGTGTGAAGACAGTGAATTATTCTATTCTGGTTAATGGAGAACCTACAGCTCCTTTTAATGAAGCTAAACATGGGGATCCGATTTCTCCATTTCTCATTGCAATAGCCATGAAATATCTTAGTAGGAACCTCAATGCAATGAAGGGAAGCAAGGAATTCAAGTATCACCCAAAGTGCTCTAAGCTATCAGTGACTCATTTGTCATTTGCAGATGATCTATTGTTATTTTCTAGGGGGGGATGTTGAATTTGTGGCCACTCTGAATAGGTGCTTCATGGAATTCTCAGATGCACCAGGTCTTCAAGCTAACAAAGAGAAAAACTCCATTTATTTTGGAGGGGTAGCTCAAGGGGTACAGGATCAAATTCTAAAATTCTTAGGATTCTTAAAAGGAGAACTTCCCTTCAAATACTTGGTGATACCTCTAGCTACTAAAAAGATCTCATTAATGCAGTGGCAACCATTGATTAACAAGATGGTATCTCGAATCACTTCTTGGACTGCAAAGAAGCTTTCATATGCAGGAAGATCTCAGTTAATTCAAACTGTCCTATTTGGTATCCAAGCTTACTGGTCCCAATTGTTTGTTATCCCCTCAAAAGTGTTAAGTACAATTGAGGCCTACTGTCGAAGCTATCTGTGGTCTGGCACAAACACAATCACTAGGAAGGCTCTAGTAGCTTGGGAGAAGGTTTGCACTCCAAAGTCAATGGGTGGACTAGGCTTGATAAACATGAGACTATGGAACAAAGCTGCAATAGCTAAAGCTAGTTGGGACATTGAACGAAAGGCAGACAGGCTATGGATCAGATGGCTGCATGCTTACTACATCAAGAATCAGCAATTTGGTCAAATGGTTACCCCTCTACAGGCTGGTTGGATGGTAAGAAAAATGTTTGAGGCTAGAAGTACATTGGCACTGATTCAAAACAACACTGCTGGCAATTTAATTAAGCAAATATATCTTCAGCTAATTGGGAACAATGAGAGGATTCCATGGAAGACATTGAGATTTGGGAATGATGCTCGTCCAAAAGCTCAATTTACAGTATGGCTACAAGTGCATGGAAAACTTCTGACTGTTGATAGAATTGCTTCCTGGGGTATAAATGTTGATCATGTCTGCAATCTATGTAATAGTCACAATGAAACGAGAAACCATCTATTCATGGAATGTCCTTATTCTACCAAAGTCTGGGAAGGTGTGCTAAAATGGATGAAGGTTCCTAGTTTCAAGATAACACAATGGGAACAACTGAAGAAATGGATCATTCAAGGAGCAAAGGGTAAATCACAGAGAGCTCAAGTATTCAAGATGGCATATACAGAATGGGTGCATACAATATGGATTGAGAGGAATCAGCGCAGATTTGAAAGTAGATCAAGGAGTTCAAATCAACCGGTGAGGAAAATTGCATATGTGTGTAATATCCGAGCATCTACTAGAATTAAAGAAATGGTCCAACAGCTTAGTATTTAGTTAGTTCTAGTAGTTAAGTATTTCTTTGTGGCTTAACTAGATAGCAAATTGTGATGTAGTCTTGCTATGGTTCCTTATTTGTAAACATTCTGGTGGTTAATAAAAAATTTAATTACCAAAAAAAAAAGATTATATATTTTTCAGATTTTAAGTATTATGAAAATACGAAAAAGAATTAAAAATCAATACAATACAAGTTGAGCCTGCTTTTCGAAATCATTTCCTCAAATTTTTATACAATTCATTTTTTTTCCAAATGATCAAATACAGTAACTCTTCTCTCATTGCGGTAATTCGGTTTTATTTACCCATCTCTATGGTGCAGATTTTGGACTTTGTCCATTTTCCAGTGTAAATTAGGGGTGTGCATTCGAATCGGTTTATCGATAAATCGAATCGATTATTTGTTATCGGTTTATCGATTTATCGATTTCGATTTCGATTTCAAAATTTTCCTTATCGAGTTATCGATTTCGATTTCGATTTTGTCCTCTTCGATTTATCGGTTTATCGATAAACCGATAAGAAATATAAAAAAAAATATATTTTTTTTTTTTACCCTTATTCTATAATACCCTTTCCTTTACCCTAAGTCCCTAACCCTATTATTTCATCTACCACATTAAGGAATGATCATACTTAAAGCTCAAGGGAATGAAGTTCAAATTAATGGAAAATAGAATTAGCCGTGATGATGTATTTTTTTTTTATACCGTTGGAGTGTTGGTGGCATACATTTGATCCCTTACTTTAGTTTCGTTGCATGTGCTTGTTGACACAATTTTTATGTTATAAACGCTGTTCGTCTTATTTTAGCTTCTTTTGGTCCATATTAGTTAGGCGTGTTTATAGCGATATACTTTCCGTGGAATCCCGCAAATTTTCTTATTGGTGTAATCGATAACTGAATCGATAAGCCCCAAAAATCGATAAATCGAAATCGAAAAAATCGAAACCTTATTGAAACAATAACGATAAGCATATGTACAAATCGATAATCGATAAGTAATTATCAATAAGGGTCAAAATCGAATAGATAAATCGAATGCACACCCCTAGTGTAAATGGAAAATGGACTAATTATTCTATTGATTTTTGCCAAGTTTTGATGTTAACATTAGTATAGAAAGATATTTTAAGAGCATAATAGAGACAATGGTGAAAGTATCACCATCATGCCCGATTTTTATTAGATTTGATTGATACAAAATAGAAAAGAACAAAAATTGCAGTTCGAGAACTGTCTGCCTCATATATAATGCACACAACTTAAAACTATTCAACGATATCAATAGCGATATGTGTTCACATTCTGTAGCCAATGTCAATTAACGAGAATTGCATGGATGGTTCCTTTTTTGCGCAAAGCAATATATATTTTTCCCTTTCAACGACGGCTGTAAACCATCCCAAGCGAACACGACACAGCGGGGCAGGCGGGCAGCTTATGTATTCTCCCTATTCAATTTGCATGTTACACATTATACTAAATCAAACAAATTAAATTAATCATAATTAGAGCTATAAAATTATAGTGAGACTAATGCATAATCACTTAATTATGACTAGATGATTGTAAACGGCCGAATCGGGCTTGTCCTTATTAGTATGACTAGTCGAGACCGGGGCGTGACAGGTCAAGGTTCGACCCCATGTCATACCGGATCATGACACGAAGTTAGATGGCCAAGCTCGTGACTCAGTGACCGATCGAGATCGAGATCAGCCAAGAGCGAGACCGAGCGGGAAAGAGATCGAGCAAGATCGAGGGAAGCATGTCGAACCAAATAACGGAAAGCCAAGATATCCGCGATTAGGCGAGGATCACGGCGCAAATCTCGCCACGTATCAAGGAGAGGCCGATTTATCAGTTGATCATGGGATTTCTTACCGTATTATACTAGGAGTAGGACTCCCCTACTATATAAAGGGGAGTTGATCATTTGTATTCATCATCATATTCACGTTACATAAAGCTATATATTCACTTTCTCTTAAGCTCTCAATATTTCTGTTATTGTGTTCATGCGTTCCGGCGAAATATTCACTTAATTCGAGGGCAGTCTAGCTCAAGGATTAAAGCTATACATTTTATTTGGTTTGCTTCATTTATATTCTCAGTTAATTTCATTGTCAATTTACGTTTTCTCTCAATTTGTGCTAAGTAAATCACGTACCCTTAAAACCACAGTAAAAATTCATTCTTATCCGTTTTTAGGGTAAACAATGGCACCCAACGTAGGGCTAAGGATAATAGTGATTGTCTGGTATAAATTTTCGTAACACACTATTTTACGCTTGTTCTTTGAAATGTCTTTGATTACAGGAATAAAAAATGTCGAACTCTCAGTCAGCACCTCAACACATTGACAATGATCTAAGCCACTACGGCGAGAAAGAGAACATTGCACCAGGAAACGTTGTACCCCCTGCTGGACTCGATGGAGTTCCGGCTGTAGATCTGATCGACGTCAGTTCGCATGTAGCCATCAATGGAAATTTGTCCGTCGATCTAGTAAGCATCGTTCGTGGAGTTACCTGATCAGGTGCTCAGAATGCACATGGCAGTGAAGATGGCGGGATCACCCTGCGGGTAATCTTTGAAATGTTGCAGGCCCAACAGGCAGCAATAGCTCAGCTCCAAAATCAGAACCAAATGCCAAGCAGGGTCGAACTTGATCCATCCCAAGAAGTTATACACAAGGTCGAATCGGCTTCAAGAAAATCAAACGAGAAGGAATCGGAGACCAATTTTGCTATTATAAAGATGCTCGAAAAATTGACAAAACGAATCGAGACAGGGGAAAAGAAGATTGGGGAAACTGATAAGAAGGTGGAAACCTATAACTCCAAGGTCGACCAAATCCCGGGGCACCCCAGATATTGAACGGACTAGATTCGAGAAAGGTTGTACAAAAACCTTTCCCCCCCCCCCCAAGTGCGGATCCGAAGCCAATGCCCAAGAAGTTCCGTATGCCCGAGATTCCTAAGTATAACGGGATGACTAATCCAAATAAATACGTCACCTCGTACACGTGCGCCATCAAAGGAAACGACTTGGAAGATGACGAAATTGAATCCGTATTACTGAAGAAATTCGGGGAGACTCTATCGGAGGGTGCCATGATATGGTATCATAATTTACCGCCTAATTTTATTGACTCGTTTGCTATACTTGTAGATTCTTTTGTAAAGGCACACGCCGGAGCCATTAAGGTCGCAATAAGAAAGTCAGACCTTTTCAAGGTAAGGCAGAAGGACAGCGAGATGCTCAGGGAATTCGTATCTCGGTTTCAAACAGAGAGAATGGATTTGCCACCGGTCACCGACGATTGGGCTGTTCAAGATTTCACTCAAGGTCTCAACATTTGGAGTTCCATAGCTTCATAGCAGTTGAAGCAAAATTTGATCGAGTATCCAGCTGTCACTTGGGCCGATGTAGTTAATCGATATTAGTCGAAGATCAGGGTCGAGGATGATCAACTAGGGACTCCTTCTGGGTCCGTTTATCCTAACAGGCCCATAGATAGAATCAATAGGGATATCGACCGAGAGCCAAGGTCGAATAAAGATCGATATCAACTGTATAACGGAGACCGTAGAGGCAGCGGGTCTGGACGAAACTTTGCATGGAATGAGAGGAGAAATGCGAGGTCAAAGATCACGAGGACTCATGAGCAAGGGTGGTTTCGACAGGGATGCCGGGCCCAATGAAGCGCCACGACTGTCGGAATATAACTTCAATGTAGATGCATCCACCATCGTATCAGCCATCGGACGTATCAAGGATACTAGATGGCCTCGACCTCTACAAACCGATCCGGCCCAGAGAAATCCCAACAAAATATGCAAGTATCATGGCACCCATGGCCATAAAACAAAAGATTGCAGACAACTAAGGGAGGAGTAGCCCGGTTGTTCAATGAGGGGCATCTTCAGGAATTCTTAAGCGACCGGGCCAAGAATCACTTCAAAAATAGATATTCCAGTAGACAGAACGAGTAGGAAGAATCACTACACGTGATTCATATGTTCTTTGGAGGGGTCGATACTCCTCAAGGACCAGTATTAAAGCGCACCAAGGTGTCGATCACAAGGGAGACTCAAGTTATGAATAAGGGATTGAACAACCTAACAATGACGCACTGGTAATATCTGTACTTATGAATAAGACTCAAGTTAAACGTGTTTTGATTGATCCAGATAGCTTGGCCAACATAATTCAATAAAGGATCGTAGAACAGCTCGGCTTTCAGGATCAGGTTGTACCCGCGGCCCGAGTTCTAAACGGCTTCAATATGGCATGTGAAACCATCAAAAGTGAAATAACTTTGTAGTAAACATGGCTGGGACCATCCAAGAAACGAAGTTCCATGTGATCGAGGGCGATATGAGGTATAATGCTATATTTGGGAGATCATGGATCCATAACATGAGAGCAGTGCCTTCGACCCTTCACCAGGTTCTAAAATTCCCAACGCCAGAGGGAGTCAAAACATTCTACGGGAGCAACCCGCTGCCAAGGAAATGTTTGCCATCGACGAAGTGATACCTATATCGGCGCTCTCATCAACAAAAGGGTCAAGTTCGAAGGGAAAGCAGGAGGTTAAATAGCAACCACAAACACCGGCCTCGACCCAACCAGAGGAGCAGGGGACGTACGAGGATGATGACTATATGATACATTGATCCTTCATAATCCCCAAAGATTCTGACGCCACAAAATCAATTGTCGAAGATCTGGAACAAATCATACTGGTCGAGCATCTGCCCGATCAAAAGGTATACCTGGCACGAGGTTAACTCCCGAGCTCAGGAAAAATCTTATTCAATTTTTTATTGCTAATATGGATTGTTTTGCCTGGTCCCATCTCGATATGACAGGGATCCCACCGGAGATCACTACTCATAAACTAAGCTTGGACCCGAAGTTCCGCCCGATGAAACAAAAAAGGAGGCCTCAGTCCGAGGTCAAACACATTTTCATCAAAGACGAGGTAACCAAGCTTCTCAAAATAGGATCCATCCGGGAAGTAAAATATCCCGAATGGTTAGTGAATGTAGTAGTAGTCCCTAAAATGGGAAACAAGCTTAGGATGTGTGTAGACTATAAAAACCTAAATAAAGCATGCCCCAAGGATTCTTTTCCTTTGCCTAACATCGATCGCATGATCGATGCCACGGCCGGCCACGAGATCCTCAATTTTCTCGACGCCTATTCCGGGTACAACCAAATACAAATGAACCCGGAAGACCAGGAAAAAACTTTGTTCATCACTAAGTATGGTACCTACTATTATAATGTAATTCCATTCTGACTAAAAAAATGTTGGTGCAACCTATCAACTCCTAGTAAACCGAATGTTTGAAGAACAGATAGGGAAATCTATGGAAGTTCATATTGATGACATGCTAGTTATGTCCCTGCGAGCAGAGGACCATTTGAAGCATTTGCAGGAAGCTTTCAGTATACTGAAGAAATACAACATAAAGCTCAACCCGGAGCTTCGGGGTCGGGTCCGTCAAGTTTCTCAGATCAAAGCAATCGAGGATATCGCGGTAGTGGATAATGTGAAGGCCGTACAAAGGCTAACCGGGCGCATTGCAGTCCTGGGTTGATTCATCTCGAGATCGTCCAACAGAAGTCATCGATTCTTCTCGTTTCTGAAAAAGAAGAACAACTTCACATGGACCCCAGAATGTCAACGGGCTTTGGAGGAACTTAAGTGATACTTGTCGAGCCCGCCGCTGCTTCAAACGTCGAAGGCAGACAAATAACTATAATTATATCTAGCACTATCATAGATAGCGGTATGGAGTCCTAGTCTAAGAAGAACAAGGTACCCAATTCACTATCTATTATGTTAGTCGGACCCTAGGTGAAGCCGAAACTAGATATCCTCATCTAGAAAAGTTAGCGCTCGCTTTGATAAGCGCCTCTAGGAAACTCAAACCGTACTTTCAATGTCATCCCGTATGTGTTGTAACAACTTATCCCCTTCAAAATATTTTTCATAAACCCGAACTTTCGGGACGATTGGCTAAATGGGCCGTAGAACTCAACGGGTGCGATATGTAGTATCGACTCCGAACAGCCATCAAGTCTCAAATCTTGGCAGACTTCGTGGATGACTTCACGCCGGCCCTAGTAACTGAGGTTGAAAGAGAGTTTTTATTCAACTCAGGTACATCTTCGGGGATCTAGACCCTCTTTACGGACGTGCTTCGAACGTAAAAAGGTTCGGACTCGGCATCGTGCTAAAACCACCCATAGGTAACGTTGTTAGACAATCTATTAGAACTGTAAAATTGACTAACAACGAGGCCGAATATGAGGCCATGATTGCAGGTCTCGAACTAGCCAAAGGCTTGGGAGAAGAGGTGACCGAAGCCAAATGCGACTCCCTCCTCGTTGTGAATTAGGTTAACGGAACCTTTGAAGTTCGAGAGGAACAAATACAAAGATACTTGGATAAGCTACAAGTAACTCTACACCGGTTCAAGGGATGGACTTTGCAGCATGTGCCTCGAGATCAAAATAGCAAATCTGATGCCCTCGCAAACCTAGGCTCGTCGGTCAAAGACAAGGAACTCAATTCGGGGGCTATCGTACAACTCATGAGCTCAGTGGTCGAAGAAGGCCACACCGAGATAAACTCCACGAGCTTGACCTGGGATTGGAGAAACAAATACATAGAGTATTTGAAGAACGGAAAACGTCCTTCAGATCCAAAGGAATTGAGGGCCCTGCGCACGAAGGCAGCTCGATTTAGCTTGTCTGAAGATAATACCTCACTTAGAAGGATGTTCGACGGTCCGCTAGTAATATGTCTGGGATCAGGAGATACCGAGTATGTTTTGAGGGAAGTCCACGAAGTCACATGTGGGAACCACTCAGGCGCGGAATCACTGGTTCAAAAGGTAATTAGAGCCGTTTGA